GTAACCTTACACCTGCTGTCCCTGTTCACCTAGCAGTAACCTTACACCTGCTGTACCTGTTCACCTAGCAGTAACCTTACACCTGCTGTACCTGTTCACCTAGCAGTAACCTTACACCTGCTGTACCTGGTCACCTTGCAGTAACCTTACACCTGCTGTACCTATTCACCTAGTAGTAACCTTACACCTGCTGTGCCTGTTCACCTAGCAGTAACCTTACACCTGTCGTACCTATTCACCTAGCAGTAACCTTACACCTGCTGTACCTGGTCACCTTGCAGTAACCTTACACCTGCTGTACCTGTTCACTAGCAGTAACCTTACACCTGCGTTTCACCTAGTTCACCTAGACAGTAAACCTTACACCTGCTGTACCTGTTCACCTAGCAGTAACCTTACACCTGCTGTACCTGTTCACCTAGCAGTAACCTTACACCTGCTGTACCTGGTCACCTTGCAGTAACCTTACACCTGCTGTACCTATTCACCTAGTAGTAACCTTACACCTGCTGTGCCTGTTCACCTAGCAGTAACCTTACACCTGTCGTACCTATTCACCTAGCAGTAACCTTACACCTGCTGTACCTGGTCACCTTGCAGTAACCTTACACCTGCTGTACCTATTCACCTAGTAGTAACCTTACACCTGCTGTGCCTGTTCACCTAGCAGTAACCTTACACCTGTCGTACCTATTCACCTAGCAGTAACCTTACACCTGCTGTACCTGTTCACCTAGCAGTAACCTTACACATGCTGTACCTTTCACCTAGCAGTACCTTACACCTGCTGTACCTGTTCACCTAGCAGTAACCTTACACCTGCTGTACCTGTTCACCTAGCAGTAACCTTACACCTGCTGTACCTGTTCACCTAGCAGTAACCTTATACCTGCCCCTGGTACCTTGTTCCACCTAGCAGTAAACCTTACACCTACTGTACCTGTTCACCTAGCAGTAACCTTACACCTGTCGTACCTGTTCACCTAGCAGTAACCTTACACCTACTGTACCTGTTCACCTAGCAGTAACCTTACACCTGCTGTACCTGTTCACCTAGTAGTAACCTTACACCTGCTGTACCTGTTCACCTAGCAGTAACCTTACACCTACTGTACCTTTCACCTAGCAGTAACCTTACACCTGCTGTACCTGTTCACCTAGCAGTAACCTTACACCACTGTACTGTTCACCTAGCAGTAACCTTACACCTGCTGTACCTGTTTCACCTAGCAGTAACCTTACACCTGCTGTACCTGTTCACCTAGCAGTAGCCTTACACCTACTGTACCTGTTCACCTTGCAGTAACCTTACACCTGCTGTACCTGTTCACCTAGCAGCAACCTTACACCTCTGTACCTGTTCACCTAGCAGCAACCTTACACCTGCTGTACCTGTTCACCTAGCAGAACCTTACACCTGCAGTACCTGTTCACCTAGCAGTAACCTTACACCTGCAGTACCTGTTCACCTAGCAGCAACCTTACACCTGCAGTACCTGTTCACCTAGCAGCAACCTTACACCTGCTGTACCTGTTCACCTAGCAGCAACCTTACACCTGCTGTACCTGTTCACCTAGCAGTAACCTTACACCTGCTGTACCTGTTCACCTAGCAGAACCTTACACCTGCAGTACCTGTTCACCTAGCAGTAACCTTACACCTGCTGTACCTGTTCACCTAGCAGCAACCTTACACCTGCTGTACCTGTTCACCTAGCAGTAACCTTACACCTGCAGTACCTGTTCACCTAGCAGTAACCTTACACCTGCAGTACCTGTTCACCTAGCAGCAACCTTACACCTGCAGTACCTGTTCACCTAGCAGCAACCTTACACCTGCAGTACCTGTTCACCTAGCAGCAACCTTACACCTGCAGTACCTGTTCACCTAGCAGTAAGTAGGTACGTGAGTGTTAGTCGACTAGGGACTAGCTTGCTAGAATCGTTCCCCTGAACGAAAACTACGTGAACATCCTACTCATTTCTGCAACACTGCAAGCTCCTGGTGATAGTGTTGATTGCAACATGTAAGGCCTAGAGCTATCATTCAACTCCCTCTATGATTGTTTTGCATCTTGTATCGTTTGTTGGCGATTACTGCATAGTAACATGTGTAAGTTACCTAGGATAACTCCCAGAAAAGTCAGTACTCACTTAATTGTGGTTGCAGGGGTCGAGACTTAGCTCCTGGCCCCGCCTCTTCACTGAGTGCTACTAGGTCCTCTCTCTCCCTGCTCCATGGTTCCTGCCTCCACTACCTCACTTGCTAGGCTATTCCACTTCCTGACTACTCTATGACTGAAGAAATACTTCCTAACATCCCTCTGACTCATCTGGGTCTTCAACTTCCAATTATGACCCCTTGTTTGTGTCCCCTCTCTGGAACATCCTGTCTCTGTCCACCTTGTCTATTCCTGGAGTTTACCTGGAGAGAGTTCCGGGGGTCAACGCCCCCGCGGCCCGGTCTGTGACCAGGCCTCATGGTGGATCAGAGCCTGATCAACCAGGCTGTTACTGCTGGCTGCACGCAATCCAACGTACGAGCCACAGCCCGGCTGGACAAGTACCGACTTTAGGTGCTTGCCCAGTGCCTGCTTAAGACAGCCAGGGGTCTATTGGTAATCCCCCTTATGTATGCTGGGAGGCAGTTGAACAGTCTTGGGCCCCTGACACTTATTGTGTTGTCTGTTAACGTGCTAGTGACACCCCTGCTTTTCATTGGGGGGATGTTGCATCGTCTGCAGAGTCTTTTGCTTCCGTTGTGAGTGATTTTCGTGTGCAAGTTTGGTACTAGTCCCTCTAAGATTTTCCAGGTGTATATAATCATGTATCTCTACCGCCTGCGTTCCAGGGAATACAGGTTCAGGAACTTCAAGCGCTCCCAGTAATTGAGGTGTTTTATCTCCGTTATGCGCGCCGTGGAGGTTCTCTGTACATTTTCTAGGTCAGCAATTTCATCTGCCTTGAAGGGTGCTGTAGTGTGAAGCAATATTCCAGCCTAGATAGAACAAGCGACCTGAAGAGTGTCATCATGGGCTTGGCATCCCTAGTTTTGAAGGTTCTCATTATCCATCCCATCATTTTTCAAACAGATGCAATTGACACAATGTTATGGTCCTTGAAGGTGAGATCCTCCGACATGATCACTCCCAGGTCTTTGACGTTAGTTTCTCGCACTATTCCACGCAGTATTTCGTATGTTGTTATCATGTCTCCCCTAACCCTCCTGTCCTCCAGTGTCGTCAGGGCGATTTCCCTTAACCTTTCTCCGTAGGACATTCCCCTTAGCTCTGGGACTAACCTTGTCACAAACCTTTGCACTTTCTCTATTTCTTGACGTGCTTGATCAAGTGTGGGTTCCAAACAGGTGCTGCATACTCCAGTATGGGCCTGACGTACATGGTGTACAGTGTCTTGAGCGATTCCTTACTAAGGTATCGGAACGCTGTTCTCAGGTTTGCCAGGCGCCCATATGCTGCTGCAGTTATCTGGTTGATGTGTGCTTCCGGAGATGTGCTGGGTGTTATACTCACCCCAAGATCTTTCTCCTTGAGCGAGGTTTGCAGTCTTTGGCCACCTAGCCTATACTCCGTCTGCGGTCTTCTTTGCTCTTCCCCGATCTGCATTTGGCAAAGTTAAATTCGAGAAGCCAGTTGCTGGACCAGGTGTCCAGCCTGTCCAGGTCTCTTTGAAATCCTACCTGATCCTCACCTGATTTAATTCTCCTCATTAACTTCACATAATCTGCGAACAGGGACACTAATGAGTCTAACCCTTCTATCATGTCATTCACATATACCAGAAATAGCACTAGTCCTAGGACCGACCCCTGTGGGACCCCACTCGTCACAGGTGCCCACTGTGATACCTCATCCCGTACCATGACTCGTTGCCTCCCTGTCAGGTATTCTCTGATCGATTGCAGTGCCCTTCCTGTTATAAGCACCTGATCCTCTAGCCTCTGCACCAATCTCCTGTGAGGAACTGTGTCGAAGGCCTTCTTGCAGTCCAAGAAGATGCAATCAACCCACCCCTCTCTCTCGTGTCTTACTTCTGTTACTTTATCATAAAACTCCAGTAGGTTTGTGACACAGGATTTGCCTTCCATAAATCCGTGCTAGTTGGCGTTTATACTCTTGTTCCGTTCCAGGTGCTCCACCACTCTCCTCCTGATAATCTTCAGTTACTTTTTTCCATTGGGGTCCTTGTAATATCTTATTATTTAAAGCCTAGCTGTAAGATACAGTAGAAATCAGTCATGATTATAACAGGGACCCTAATAAAAATAAATCTGCATAGTACATGGGTGATATGCCTGTAACATCTGTCTGCCTTGAGTTTACCTGGAGAGAGTTCCGGGGGTCAACGCCCCCGCGGCCCGGTCTGTGACCAGGCCTCCTGGTGGATCAGAGCCTGATCAACCAGGCTGTTACTGCTGGCTGCACGCAAACCAACGTACGAGCCACAGCCCGGCTGGTCAGGAACCGACTTAGGTGCTTGTCCAGTGCCAGCTTGAAGACTGCCAGGGGTCTGTTGGTAATCCCCCTTATGTATGCTGGGAGGCAGTTGAACAGTCTCGGGCCCCTGACACTTATTGTATGGTCTCTTAACGTGCTAGTGACACCCCTGCTTTTCATTGGGGGGATGTTGCATCGTCTGCCAAGTCTTTTGCTTTCGTAGTGAGTGATTTTCGTGTGCAAGTTCGGTACTAGTCCCTCTAGGATTTTCCAGGTGTATATAATCATGTATCTCTCCCGCCTGCGTTCCAGGGAATACAGGTTCAGGAACCTCAGGTTTAGAATACAGGTTTAGGAACCATTGTAAAAAAATATATTTTTACGAAGGACCCCAATGGAAATAAGTCACTTTGACTTTTTTTTTTGTTATCCTAAGCAATTTACATTATATATAACAATTGTACTTATGAGTACCTGCCTCTAAATAAACTTCCTAAAAGCCTAAATAAAATTTGAATATTTCGTTGTCATGGCAACCAGGAATGTAAACAAACACCTCCATCAATAGTTCCTAGCGAGGATAAGTACGATAGATTTTTCTCTAGTTAGGAATGCGCTTATTTTACTAAATTTTATTATCAATCTAATAAGTAAATTATATTTTATCAATGTACTCTGTATTTGGTTTCACTTGTAAAAGCTGTTAATGAGTTAGTAACAAGCTTCCTAGAGAACTGAGGCAACATTCTCTCTACTCAAGACGGGAAAATCTTCATGATGACAGAAAAGTGAGTAAATTTATGTATCATGATGGTGTCTCCACTTAACTGTTGTATTGTCTATTATTTTAGTCATAATGCATTCATCGTGTTACCAGATTCTTCACTATACAATTGGTGTTATTGCTTAAGAGTGATAATAGAGGAAGACTTACATACACTTGAGATTATTAACCTCTGAGGGTTAATAACCCCAGAGGAATAAGAGAGTGAGAGATTTTGTTCATATTATTATCCTGAAGGCTAGTAATCAAGGTTATCCCAGGAAATTAAATCGTTATGTCTTATTTCCAGTGGGTACTTTGGTCCTGGCACCAACTATCAACTAAACAATTTTGGTTTCATCCTGGTGTAGGGTGAAATGTTGGTGAAATGTTTTGATCTGTTACCCATGTTGACCTAGTATTAAGTATGTACTTGTGGGTCACATCGTGCGAGACGTGCCCATAAATAAGTCTCGCATCACCCGGTATTTGTACCTGGGTTCTTTAGGTTGTGAACAAAATGTACTAATATGGAACTATGAAAGTAACAAGTCATATAGTATATGTTGTATTATAATTGTAATTAATATCGACATATAAAAAAATATAGGCAGTAAATTTATGTTTTCATCTGAAATATAGAATAACCTTTTTTAACTTTACAACATTATAGTACATTTAATAAAACCATCAGTAAGATATTTTTATAGTACATGTACAGTGGACCCCCGCATACCGTTGGCATCACATAACGTTTAATCCGCATACCGATACATTTTATCGCTAAAATTTTGCCTCGCATACCGCTTAAAAACCCGCTCACCGCTGTTCGTCCGAGACGCGTCCAATGTGCGCCCTCAGCCAGCCTCACATGTGCCGCCCGTGCCATTGTTTACCAGCCAGCCTCCGCGGTAACATCCAAGCATACAATCGGAACATTTCGTATTATTACATTGTTTTTGGTGATTTTCTCTGGAAAATAAGTGACCATGGGCCCCAAGAAAGCTTCTAGTGCCAACCCTACAGCAATAAGGGTGAGAATTCCAATAGAGATGAAGAAAGAGATCATTGATAAGTATGAAAGTGGAGTGCGTATCGCCGACCTGGCCAGGTTGTACAAGAAACCCCAATCAACCATCGCTACTATTGTGGGCACCAGAAAGGCAATCAAGGAAGCTGTTCTTGCCAAAGGTTTAACTGTGTTTTCGAAACAAAGATCGCAAGTGATGGAAGATGTTGAGAGACTCTTATTGGTGTGGATAAATGAAAAACAGCTAGCAGGAGATAGCGTCTCTCAAGCGATCATAAGCGAAAAGGCTAGGAAGTTACATGAGGATTTAATTTAAAAAATGCCTGCAACTAGTGCTGATGTGAGTGAATTTAAGGCCAGCAAAGGTTGGTTTGAGAGATTTAAGAAGTGTAGTGGCATACATAGTGTGATAAGGCATGGTGAGGCTGCCAGTTCTTACCACAAAGCGGCTGAAAAATATGTGCATGAATTCAAGGAGTACATAGAGGCTGAAGGACTGAAACCTGAACAAGTGTTTAATTGTGATGAAACAGGCCTGTTTTGGAAGAAAATGTCAAGCAGGACCTACATTACTCAGGAGGAAAAGGCACTCCCAGGACATAAGCCTATGAAAGACAGGCTTACTTTGTTGATGTGTTCCAATGCTACTGGTGATTGCAAAGTTAAGCCTTTATTAGTGTATCACTCTGAAACTCCCAGAGCGTTCAGGCAAAAGAATGTCCTCAAGGAGAATTTGTGTGTGCTGTGGAGGGCAAACAGTAAGGCATGGGTCACTAGGGACTTTTTCTATGACTGGTTACAACATGCATTTGCCCCCAATGTGAAAGATTACCTAACTGAAAAGAAATTAGAACTTAAGTGCCTCCTGGTGTTAGACAATGCCCCTGGTCATCCTACAGATGTGGCAGAGCGACTTTATGGGGACATGAAATTCATTAAGGTGAAGTTTTTGCCTCCTAATACCACTCCTCTCCTGCAGCCCATGGACCAGCAGGTTATTGCAAACTTCAAAAAACTGTACACAAAAGCTCTGTTTGAAAGGTGCTTTGTAGTGACCTCAGAAACTCAACTGACTCTAAGAGAGTTTTGGAGAGAGCACTTTAATATCCTCAATTGTGTAAACCTTATAGGTAAGGCTTGGGAGGGAGTGACTAAGAAGACCTTGAACTCTGCTTGGAAGAAACTGTGGCCAGAATGTGTAGACAAAAGGGATTTTGAAGGGTTTGAGGCTAACCCTGAGAGGATTATGCCAGTTGAGGAATCCATTGTGGCATTGGGAAAGTCCTTGGGGTTGGAGGTTAGTGGGGAGGATGTGGAAGAGTTGGTGGAGGAGGACAATGAAGAACTAACCACTGATGAGCTGATAGATCAACTTCAACAGCAAGAGGCCAGACCTGAGGAAACTGGTTCAGAGGAGGGGAGAGAGAAATTGAAGAAGTTGCCTACTACAAAGATTAAGGAAATCTGTGCAAAGTGGCTTGAAGTGCAAACCTTCATGGATGAAAATCACCCTCACACAGCTATTGCAAGCCGTGCTGGTGATTATTACACTGACAATGTTGTGAAACACTTTAGGGAAGTCATAAAGGAACGAGAGGTACAGGCCACTATGGACAGATATGTTGTGCGAAAGAAGTCCAGTGACTCTGAAGCTGGTCCTAGTGGCATTAAAAGAAGAAGGGAAGTAACCCCAGAAAAGGACTCGACACCTCAAGTCTTAATGGAAGGGGATTCCCTTCTAAACACTAACACTTTCTCTCTCCTCCTCCCATCCCATCAATCATCACCAGATCTTCAATAAAAGTGAAGTGTCATGTAATTGTGCATGCCTTTTTCAGTTTGTGTGTATTAAAATTAACATTTCATGTGGTAAAATTTTTTTTTTTCATACTTTTGGGTGTCTTGCACGGATTAATTTGATTTCCATTATTTCTTATGGGGAAAATTCATTCGCATACCGATCATTTCGCATAACAATGAGCCCTCTTGCACGGATTAAAATCGCTATGCGGGGGTCCACTGTACATGAGTGACTTTCTTATATCAAAATTTGATACATAATGTTATATGGCAAGGCTCGCCTGTACAGTAAACCCTTGATATATTACATCTCTATATAACAGACTTCTAAAATAATGAACAAAATTAGCCTAGTAAATTATATATCTAATTCCTTAATTTTTAGTATTTATTGTGGTTATATGTAAATTGTGTGTATAATACAGGACTATATTAGGTATACAGTATGTATAGTATTTTATTGCTTGTACTATTCTTAAGATTATTCTGATTTAGCAAACACTTAGCCATTATATTGATAGTTTACTGTATTTGGCTTTGCTGGGTTATTGTAGGGTAAAGCTTCACAACACATAATAATGTGCCTGGTATAAGTATTGGAAATACTGTACTTAAAAGAGCCACTTGTAAACAAATTGCAAATTTAATTAAATGAAAATTTCTAACCAACCAAATTTTAATTCTTGCTCCAGTGAACGATGGCTCACAGCCCATCACGACCCTCTGGCAGCCCTCTACACATTCAGTGCCTGCATGGCTCTGGCTGACCTTCATGGGGATGGAGAATCCAAACTCATAATTGCTGACCTTGGAACTGGAGCTTATAACATGAAACTCAAGGTAAGAGGTGTGAATGTGCATTGGTGTGTTTCAGGTGGACAGTCGGGGCCCCAGCACAGAAATATCAGCAACTGTTTGTCTACAGCTGCTCTCAAATGTAGGTTTGCTGCTTTATTTACCATAAATATACTTATCAATTCAGTGTTCTGATATGAAGTAGCCATGTATGCTGTTCTCTTACAGGTCTACAAGGGTACCAGTTTAATGTCGGAAAACACACTCATTGACCTCCCAACGGGAGTTATAACCTTTCATATGGACACCACAGAGCCCCGAGTACCTGGTGAGTAATTATATATTACAGTAGACTTTATTTTTTTCTTTTGGGGGAGGGGGGTCAGCACATATCCCTTTGTCCTTCCTTTTATTTTTTTTACACTTTACAATTCACTTGAAACAACCTTGTCATTTCTACTCTTGAACCCCTGTATAGGGTTGACCATCCACTGTGTCCCTCTTCAGTTATCAAATAATAATAAACTGTTTTGCCACTCTTTTGTTTAAAACGTTTTTTTTTTTTTTTTTTTAATATTTCTTTAACTCAGTTGGGTGTGTAATATCCATTCATGAATTATACCTCTTCTTGATTTTTTCCTTGTTAAAGACTCTATCCTTGTCTACAGTCTAAGCCCCCTTAAGCATTTTGTGTCATGACATGCATGGCTTACAGAGGAAGGATTCTTCTCTACTTCCCATGGAATATTATAATTATAATTTATTGTATTCATGGGAAAATGCTAAACCTGCAGGGGTCATACTGCACCTGAGAAATGAGCAGTATTCAGGTTTTACCATTATTCATGTTAGTATTGCACATACAGCAGTTATTATGTATGTATGTATGTAATCACCTAATTGTGGATGCAGGTTTTGAGTCACAGCTCCTGACCCCGCCACTTCACTGGTCGCTACTAGATCACTATTCCTGCTCCACGAGCTTATCATACCTCTTCTTAAAGCTATGTATGGATCCTGCTTCCACTACATCACTTCCCAGACTATTCCACTTCCTGACAACTCTGACTGAAGAAATACTTCCTATGGAAATACTTCCTATGGAACATCCTGTCTTTGTCCACCTTGTCAATTCCTCTCATTATTTTATATGTCGTTATCATGTCCCCCCTATCTCTCCTGTCCTCCAGTGTCGTTAGGTCAACATATATATACATAGGGAGGTACCATCTCTGAAACTGTGCTGGGGACCCTCATCCTCAGAGAAAAGAATAAACTTACTTCAGGGAAAACTCGCATATATATATGTGTATGTGTGTGCGTATATATATATTGTTATGCTAACATCTAATTTTTAATTTGACATAGCTGTTGCTGTCGCATCTGGAAGCTATATCTACATCTACAAAAATCTTAGGCCATATTTCAAGTTTACATTGCCAACTTTAGAAGTGAACTCTGCAGAATTTGATGCCTGGAGCCAGGTAATTACCCGTGTTTAGTCATATTATACATTTATTTTCATGTACCTAGAGCAAGATTATAACCCATAATATGAACGATAAACTGACCTTTACTTATAGTAACAGGTAGATGAGCTACTGATTGCAGTAGGTAAACTATATACAGTACAATACAATATATAAATTCAATATGCTATATAAAAAATAGAGTTAATTTCATTATTCCCTTCTACATGTGTATGCTTTGATATATAACAGAGTTCATTGTTAATACAGCCTCTCCTTACTTAGCGATGGAGTTCTGTTCCTAAGACCATGTCGTCAGACAAATTCATTGCTAGGTAAGGAGCATACTATAATAGTAGAGGGTTTGTGTCAACCATCTTTGATATCATTTAAATGTCACCTTTGCACCATTTATAACATTTCTAGTATATTTTTAAATGTTTATACAGTAGTGTACTGTATATTGAAATAAACAGAGTAGAGGAAATCAGCTCTAATATACATTATTTAGGTATAAATACTGATCACAGAGCCTGTCGTAAGTCCGAAGCATCGGTAAATGAGTACGTCACTAAGTGAGGAGAGGCTGTAATTAACAGTTAAGCAAATACTACAGTAGGTATAATGTATATTTTGTTGAGTAATCAGAAAGAAGTCAGTGACAAGGAATGTAATTTTGAGTAATTTTTTTTTAAACCTGTCACATGTGTAGCATCCATCCATACTGCAACATCCAGACTTTTAGGTCTAAACAGGTAGTAGTTGCATGCTGCAAAGGCCAGAAATGTATGGAATATTATTAAAAACTTCATAGCTAAGCCTTCATCAAGAGCTTCTTTAGTGATAGTCCTGTTTGTAATTGTGCAACAACATCAAACTGGATGAAATTATGATGGCAGTGTATGACATTATCATCATGATAATATGGTGGCAGTGTGGGTCATATATCATCATGCAACAGGATAATACTCTTGGTGGAGAGGTGGTGACACTTCTGCTAGATGGGTACATACCGTTACTGTAGCATTACACTACATAAAATTACACCAACTGCTGTCATCAGTGATAGTAAACACAAGAACACTTTTTTGTGAAGCCATTATGGAGGTCTTTGCAGTGGGATAAATCTGTAAGCTGGGAGGTGACTAGGTGAAATATCAGTAGTGTAAAATATATGTAACAAATTACAAAATAAATTACTTTCAAATCTGCATGCTTTATATTGTTACTCTCTGATCATAGCTAGTAGCTGAAGAGTATTAGATTTAATCACTGATTTTTTCAGGCCCGAGATGAACTGTTAGATGTGAGCATGCTGTATGAGATCCTTGACTCGTTGAGACAAGAGGTGGGAGAGTGTGGACTTACAACACGATCTCAGCGGTTTCTTATGTGTCCTGACCATGCTAGCCAAGCAACCTTCCTCAACCAGCACAAAGGATTCATTCTCAAACGTCAGGTAAAAAAATATACGTATACTTCTCCCTTGAGCTATAATTTGCAGAGCACTGAATTTTTTTTTTTTTTTTTAGGTACTATTCAACTAGCTGTAATTTTATTTGGCCACTGATTAATTTTCCATAAATTCGACTGAAGCTGAAAAGTTGCTGAAAAGTTTTTCCATCATGACATATGATGCTTTGTCAAGTTTGTCTGTTAATGAAAAATTTTCTTTTGCAGACTGTTGTAACATGTTTTGCTACCCTGAAGAAGAGTCATGCTGAAGATGATGCCATCTCATGTTTGGTGCTTGGCACAGAGAGTGCAAATATTTTCATATTGGATCCCGAAGCCTTTACAATTCTTAACAGTGTATGATAAAAAAAATCTCTGTCATCAAATCTGCAGTCATCATAAAGCACCCAGGGAATATGAAGTAACCAGGTTTGATTTGAGGAAGAGGAGGGCAATTCCAATTCCTTGAGTCAAGAGCCTTTCACCTGCATCAAGGCATCCTTTTGTCAAGCTTAATTCTGTTCACTTCACATCTTTAGAACACTGCATTATCATACTGATACTCACTTAAGACATTTCTTTGAAAATTTTAACAGTACACACAGGCATCACACTAGAAACAAATACCTCTTTGATACATCTCATGTTCGTTTGAATGTCTACAGAAATTCTATTAAAATTAAGGGGCCAAAAATATGGAATAGCTTGTCAAATGAATAAAAAAATTGCATACTTAATGAGTTCAGCTTAAGCTCAGACAAATACTGTGGTATCCTAATCTTGTATTGTAATTTCATAAACTACTAGTCAACCTTCACCTTGTCATTTAGTTTTAATTTTTAGCAGTTTTAGAGAATATTCTTGTAATTTGTACCACTATTATTATTTTGAGCATCCTGCACCATGAACATAACAGTTATGTAATCTTTTAGGGTTAAGTGGTCTAGGTCCTATTTCAAGTTTGTTTTAAATGCTTTGCATACTATGAGAATTCAGGGTATTATATGCATAACCTTGATATACCATTCATGAGTTTCAAGAGTTTTTCTACTCCCAGAGCCCAGCCTTGGGCCAGGCTCGTATGGTGCTTGGAAAATGTTTATGATTATTATTATTGTTGTTGTTGTCGTTGTTGATAATTAAGATTTTCTTTGCTGTTGTAGATGAGTCTGCCTAGTGTACCAGTGTTCCTGTCAGTGTCTGGACTATATGATGTTGAGTACCGCATTATTGTAGCATGCCGCAATGGTCAGATTTACACACTGAAGCGTGGTACAAAAATTGGTCGTCCAACTGCTGAGCTAACATCCCAGCCAGTTGGTTTACTGAAGCGAGACAAGACCACCATTGTAGCCACAATGGATCAGAATCTTCATTCTTTTAACAATAAGGCAAGCCATACTCTGGGAACCAGTAAAACGGTTGGCCAGACTTAAGTTCTGAAGGTAGAAGATACAGTGCCTGCACTCTGAAGGAGTGGAGATGTTGCAGTCAGAGGATCATCTGAACTGTGATATCAAAGCACTTCTAGAAACACAGCAGTTAAGAATAAGAAGTTTATTTCAGCATGATACATGTTTGTACAAAGGAGTATAACACTTGGGTGTACATGCCAAAAGCCCCTTTATACAGAGCATTTCAGGCAATGATGGTAAATGCATTTCCTCTCTTGGGTCATCCTACCTTGGTGAGACACATTGCACTATTTAAGAGGTCTCTAGCACCGTTTCTCTAACCCTTCATGAAACACTAGCTGCCTTTCCTCCCCTCCACCCATATTTATAAACACTCTTGATCATCCTGTTCTGTTTCATCCTCTCTAAATGCCCAGACCACATCAACAACCCCTCCTCAGCCCTCTGAATTATACTCTTGGTAACCCCATTATGTCTTCTAATTTTTACACTTTAAATTCTGTGTATAATTTTCACACCACACATTGTTCTTTAACCTAACATCTTCATCTGGCATCTTTGGTACAATGTTTAAAATTTTTGCCTCACACCTCGCTAATCTGGTATCACTGGGACCTGTAGGGTGCCAGATTAGTGATTTTCCCGGACTACAGAATGGTTAGGTTAAAATAGTACACTTAACCCCAACAGCGATATTTACACATCAGCAATTTCACCCATTTTACGCACTTTTTTTCCCATTCCATTGTTCCAGTCTACCAAACTCATAGCAATTTCACTAGTATTCCTTCTATTCTGTCAATTGAGTACAAGAAACTGCCCATTTGCCTGTTTCAACTACCCAATAATGTGGTCAGAAATGAGTAATTTGGCTGATTTCACAAAAATTTCAAGAGGTGCCAATTTCAAAATAGGGCCCAGAATAAACACTGCAGACATTCCTGGCACTAAAATAACATTTTTCTCTGTTCATTAGTCATGTCTCTTGGTCCCTCTTACATTACACATGCTTTTCATTTTGAATTTTTATTCGCACAAAAAATAGAAGATTTACTATTATGCAGAATACTGCATTACATATCGTAATAATTGTATAAATAATGTCGACCCATTCATCACAACGTGTTAGACCGGCCAACTGGACATGTATTGGACGGTGACATCATTTGTTTACTCTTGAGCATTGGCAAAAATAAAAAATTTCCGCTACTCTGAGCTCAATTTCAAGGTACTCTACTTCATGAAACCAATCAAAATCATATCTACTTCTGTAACATATCTTCCATTCTATCAACTGAGACCAAAAAATGATACAGCCATAAAAATCATACGAAAATACACCGTAAAGTCCCTGTTTTACACAAAAACATGCATCTTTTTTTGTATAATGCACACTTACCACACAGATCTATTCTCTCATATGTAGGCCCAAATTTACCAGTCACAGCTTATCTGAGTGAGCTGAGCTCATGGTGACTGACAGTGGCTTCAAATCCACCTTATCTTTTGTGGATAATGTACAGTGTATATGCTTTACACAATGAGAAGCATTTCTTTTATTCGTTGGAACCATGGCTATGGCTAAAAGTGAGCAGGTTATAACAATAAATGGAGAAAAAGAAATTGGAATAACTTATGCAGCAAGTAGCGCCACCAAACAATAGTGGCAGGTTGGTGTGGTGACCCCGAAATTTGAAATTATGCTAGCTGAAATTAGTGTCAGATTACTGATGGAACCGGATTACTGATGGCTGACCTGTACCAATGTACTCTGGTACATTACCCTTTTTGCCTCTATGGATAAACGTTCTTTCCAGAGCTGCTTCAGCAGAGCACCTACCTTCTTTCCCTCATCTTATTTATGGTTTAAGATATAATATCACTCCTTACTAGTTCATCATATTCATCATCACCTCACGTGTACCCATCCCTCTCATAAATCACAGGTACACGACTGTGCCTGCCAGCACCTTATCTCTTAGTATCTGAATGCATTCACTTATACTCTCCCCCTCCAGATAGCCAATCTTTCATTCCCTAGATTTTTTGTTACTCTTATCATCTTTCACTTTCCTATTCTCAATCTTATTTTCCTTTTACATACCCTCCCATATTCCTCCACTAACTTATACAGGTGTCCATGACACCTGTGAGGTGTCATGGACAAAATTTTGTCACATCACTGAAAGATTGCGATAATGAAATCATGAGAAACTCCTATACAACATTGGCTAACTCTGAAATAGCCTTTAAGTACAGTACATGTATAAAGGGAAAATGCTAAAAGGAAACTGTTGGACCAACATTAGAATATACATTAGTGATATTGTGTATGAACCTAAGAAAAACTTTTTTTTTTTTTTTTAGCTCAAAGTTTTGAGGAAAGAAAAAGTCACAAGACATGACCTCACTGGTTGATAAGGGGCAAAAAAGAGGAGAAATGATGACTACATACGGTATAGTATTACAAAAAAAAAAAAAATACAAGAAAATTGATAAGGAAGTTTTCTTAGTACTATTAACAGGTAGAACAAAAGGCTGTATAATAGTTTGAAACTAAGGAAGAGGTGCCAAAACGAGTGGTTGAACATTGGAATGGGTTGCAAGAAGAGATATTAAGTACTAGACCCACTAGAAACTTTTAAAAAATATACATGATAAGTTAATTACTTAAGATGGGACACTGTGAGCTTAGCTTTGTTCCTGAGGCTGCAAAGCACAGTAATTACAAAAATGCAAATAGCTATTACTAGATTGCTTTTGAGCTGCAACATCAGAAATAACTTACCAAGTACTAGTAGTATACATACATGTGACACAGACCAAATAATCCACAAACAGATAAATTACAAAATACACAGAAAGGCTAAAGGAATTACATACACACTTTATTAGTAAAGTGCATATAGAGTATGGTTAGGAAGATAAAGAACTGCTGTGCAATGTATAGACTGTATCTTGATAATTTCACATTACAAGGAAAATTTTTTTTTTTTTCTTTTTAACACATCAGCTGTTTCCCACCGAGGCAGGGAGACCCAAAAAGAAAAAAAAAACCAAAATGAATTACGTATATAAAATCACTATTAATAAATACCATCTGATTTGTAATGTTAGCAATTTTTTAGCATGGCAGTGATTAGGTTACAAATGTCACATGACCTCTCCACATTGCATAATGACATTGGGTCCTGGTCTTTGTTAGTACTGTAGTGGTTTTATATCGTACACACTGAAATTGTTTTAATTATGTATAGTAGGGTAATCTTTCAATGTTTCAAGTATCAAAGTGATGTGATAAGTGATGTCATTTATCATTTAGGGTAAACGCTTGTGGTCGCTCAAGCTTCCAGCTGCCATAACCTGCGTTGAGACCCTTGAGATCCGTACCCTTGGCCTTACACTAACAGCTCTTGGAATGGCTGACAACCGTGTCATGATTTATCGTGATAAGCATTTGGTCGACACTATATATACTGAAGACAGAATATCAGCCATGAAATTTGGCCGCTTTGGCCGTGAAGATAATACTTTGGTGCTGGTGATGAAAGGTGAGAAATTTTTTTTTAAGATTTTTGGAAACAGTGTGAAAGGTTGGAATTTAAAATAACAGTGAACTATGTTTAGAATCATGAAATAGACAATTTTGATAAAAACAGGGCTATTTAACCTATGATATAGTATGTTTTTTAACCCTTAAACGGTCCAAACGTATATATACGTTTTTTCAACATCTGAAAGTATGTAAAAAAATGTAGATCTTCTTTTTTGTTTTACATTTGAAAACGTGTAAAAAAACTTTTATCTACTTTTTTTTTTGTTATATTTGAAAATATGTAAAAAAAAAGTAGATTTACTTTTGGAGCACTACGAATTTGAACGTCGATCTGTTTGGACCGTTTAAGGGTTAATACAAAAATAGAGTTCAGTATGTTATTTAGATACATTACCCAAAATCCATTCAAAAACTGAAAAGCCTCCTTCAAATTATCTTATTTGTTCTCAGCCTTTATTTATACTCATCATTTAAATGTTCCATTAAAATATTACATCTTAAAAATAATTTGATATTGATTTCATTTTCTCAGGTGGGGGTCTTCTCGTAAAAATTTTGAAGCGAACTGCACGTTTTGAGATTGAAGAAGCTCAGGGATCTTCTCATGCACTTGCTGTGAAACTCAACATACCCAAGAAAACAAAACTTTTTGTTGATCAAACTATGCGTGAGAGAGAAAACTGTGTGTGTAAGTCACTTGTGTTTTTGTTAAGTAGGTCATGGGTGAAAACTACGTTAGTATGTTTTTGTTGATTGCATTGCATATCTTAGTGTTTGAAGTTGATCAGAAGATGCATTCTCAAGGTATTTCATGGAAACCAATTTATTTAATAAAATTTCTTGAATTAAAATTTACAGAGCTGAAAGTGAAAGCCGGACTTTCATTCCTTCAACTCATATATACCTAGCTTCATCCTTAATATATCACTATATGTAATTAGAATTTTTTATTGAACTACTAAATACCTCCAATATAATATAAACTATATATCCTTATTCTCATATACATACTACTAATCCCAATTTAGTTTTAAGGCTGCCCAAAATGCCTTGCATAATAAGGGGCTTTCTATAAAGTGGTTTATATATGTCAATCAGCCTAATTGTATAATATACTGTGCTCCACTTTATGGAAATAGTTTGTTTGTTTAAACCTAACATGAGCTGTGAAGCCCATTGAAGTAAGTTAACCCTTTCAGGGCCCCCAGGCCCTCTCCCAGACTTGTTCTCAGGGTCGCCCAAATTTCAAAAAAAAAAAAAAAAAAAAAAAAAAAAAAAAAAAAAAAAATTTCTTATGAAAAGATAGAGAATCTTTTCCCGATCATAATGACACCAAAAGTATGAAATTTGATGGAAAACTTACGGAATTATGCTCTCGCGAAGTTAGCGGTCTCAATGACATTTACGCATCGGCAATTTTGCCCACTTTGAGCCCTATCTTCGGCCAATTCCAGTGTACTAGTAGACAAAAATCTTAACTATTTCGCTAGAACTCCATATTTGCTATCGAATGAGTACAAGAAACTACCCATTTATTGATTTCAACTATCCAATACAGTGGTCAGAATTTAGCAATTTTGCCAATTTCACACAAATTTCAAAAGATGCCAATTTCCAAATAGGGTCCAGAATAAACAAGACAGACATTCCTGGCACTAAAATAACATTTCCTTTGTTCATTAGTCACGTCCCCATGCCCCTCTTACATTCTTTTGCTTTCCACTTTGAATTTTTATTCTCACAAAAAATATATTTACTGTTATGCAGACTATTGCATTAGTGTAGAAATGGTATAAATAATATCGGCGCACTTGTGAAAGAATATTAGACTCACCAGTTGACATGTATTGGATGCTTAGCATGATTTGTTTACTTTTGAACTTTGGTAAAAATCGAACATTTCTGATATTTTGAGCTCAATTTCAAGGTACTTTTCATTGTAAAACCAGTCAAAATCATCTCAATTTCTATAATATGTCTTCCATTCTATAAAATGAGACCAGGAAAACTAGAATACAACAATAAATACCATACGAAAATACAGTGCAAAGTTGCTGTTTTAATCCAAAAACACGGTCAAAGTTTTTTTTTTCTCATTACGCCCTGTGTGCTGCAGGATTTTTTTTTATACTGCGCACACTGACCACATAGACCCATTCTTTCATATGTAGGCCTACCAGCTTTCTCTCACTAGATTTGAGGGTGCCAGAATTTAGGCGCACTATTACGTCAAAAACCCTGGTGCGTAAGCCGTACTAGTACGTCCGAAACCCTGAAAGGGTTAAATTTTTTTTTTTTTTTTTAATATTTATAATCTCATTGTCTCCAGGAGTGGAGAAAAATCCTTCCTCCATAAGCCATGCTTGTTGTAAGAGGCAACTAACATGCCAGGAGCAAGGGGGTAGTAACCCCTTCTTCTGTATAAATTACTAAATTTAAAAAGAAGAAAACTTTTTTTTTTTTTTTTTTGGGGGGGGGGGGTCACCCTGCCTTGGTGGGAGACAACCTGATTGTTAAAAAAAAATCATTGTATTTCTATACATTCTTTATTACCATTTAATTTTATTTGTTTTCAGTGATGCACAGAGTGTTCCAACATGACTTGTACCGTCTACGACTCAACACAGCTCGTGCTTATGTTCAGTCTCTGGAGACCAGTAGCAATCCTGTTTCTCTTTCGCAGACAGAGCCTTTAAAACTTTCTGCACAGGTGAGTTGATATTTGCTGCTACTCCATACCTCTGCTTTCAGTGCTTGTACCTGTTTGCTCTCACTTGTGTTTTGGCTTAGATTTTCATGGAAACTTTGCCACTTACCATATACTGGAGGACCCCGCATATACAGTGCCTATTTTCAGTGTTCCACATTTTCGTTGGCTTTTAATTGAGCCATTGTTTCACCCACTAGCAATAGTCACTGGCTGGTGGAACATAATGAACAATGGCTCAGTTTAAAGCCAACGAAAACATGGAACACCGAAAAGGTGCTGTACGATGGACCCTCGCCTAACGAACGCATCGCATAACGTTAAATCCGCCTAGCAATACATTTTAACGCAAAAATTTTGCCTCGGCTAGTGCTAAAAAACTCGCCCAACACGATTCGTTCCATTCGAGATGCGTCCACGTGTGGCCTGAGCCCAGTGTTTACAAGCCAGCCACCGCGGTCGCATCCAAACATACAATCGGAACATTTCATATTATCACAGCGTTTTTAGTGATTGCACATGCAAAATAAGTCACCATGGGCCCCAAGAAAGCTTCTAGTGCCAACCCTGTGATAAAAAGGGTGAGAATTAGTATGGAAATTAAGAAAGATTTTGAAGGGTTTGGGGCTAACCCTGAGAAGCCTGTGCCAGTTGTGGAATCCATTGTGCCTACTTCAAAGATTAAGGAAATGTGTGCAAAGTGGGTTGAACTGCAAACCTTTATGGATGAAAAGCACCCTAACACAGCTATTGCAAGCCGTGCTGGTGACTATTACAATGACGATGTTGTGGCCCATTTTAGGCAAATTTTAAAGGAACGGGAGGTACAGAGCTATGGACAGATTTGTTGTGCGACAGAGGTCCAGTGACTCTCATGCTGGTCCTAGTGGCATTAAAAGAAGAAGGGAAGTAACCCCAGAAAAGGATTTGATACCTCAAGTCCTAATGGAAGGGGATTCCTCTTCTAAACAATAACAACTTCCACACACTCCCCTCCTCCCATCCCATCAATCATCACCAGATCTTCAATAAAGGTAAGTGTCATGTATTCTATTCTTAGTAGAGTATTAATTGTGCATGTCTTCTTAAGTTTGTGTGTATTAAAATTAATATTTCATGTGGTAAATTTTTTTTTTTTTTCAGAATTTTGGGTGTCTTGCACTGATAAATTTGATTTCCATTATTTCTTACGGGGAAAATTAATTTGCCTTACAATAATTTCGGCTCATGATGAGCTCTCAGGAACGGATTAATATGGTAAGGCGGGGGTCCACTGTACTGTAATGTACAATAGGAACTTCTCTGCCTTCTTGTGTACATTTAATGGGCATTTTACTTTTATGTAATAATTTTTCTTGCTTTTGAGTAATTCCTCATATTGTTTCTCCATTTTACTGGCTTACAAGTCTTTCCTTTTGTGCTAGGTACTATTGTCACTTATAAATTTACATTTGGTTTCATTCATTTTTTATGAAAAACTCTTTTTTATAAGACAACCTATCAGGTAATGAATGACTCAAATGAAATTAAAACATAAGTTAATAGGTAATGAAGTTTAACCATGTATATAAAAATTGTACATATATGGTATTTTTAATTCATAACAAAAATCTGTTTAAAATCATATAGAAAATACAGTAAACCTTCAATTTAATAGATCTTATTTTAATGGACCCTAGAACAATTGGATACAATCTGCTGGGTCAGTTGATTTAGAAACAATAAACAATCTTCTAATTACAGAATTATTCATTATTGTTATGATCAGTGTAGAAAAATCTCATCTCTGTCCTCCATATGTGCCAGTAACAGCTACCCACTCACCCCTAAAGGTCCATTATATCAAGGATTTACTACTGCACATCTGGCATTTAATGTAAATATTTTGACAGACAGTGAAATTCATCTTTAATTTATAGGTCTTGGGACTGGGGCCAACATTTAAACTTAGAGTTGAGCTACAGAATACCTCCTCTACATCTCCTTCTCTACAATTGGCTGTCATATTCCACTGTGACGACCGTATCTACAGTGTTAACAAATCATACATTCAGGTAATGACATACATGAATTACAGCTTAAATTTTCCACAGTTCTATACATTCCAATTTTTTATGCAAGTAACCAATATAGTATATACTGAACTGTAGTATCTATGTGCTTCTGGCAAGACGGTGATGGAGTGAATGATGATGAAAGTGTTTCTTTTTTCGAGTCACCCTACCTCACTGGGAGACAACCAATGTTAAAAAAAAAAAAAAAAAACTGTAGTGTCACATATGAACCAACATAGAAAAATTAAACAGAATAATAGTATTGTCTTTCAGGCCCTCTTAAGATGTACTCTTAGCTTCTGTTTTATCTACTCCATGTAGGTGCAATTACATATACAAATAAATAAAAGTTTATTTCTCTGCATGTTGTACAATGTGTGATTTGATATTATGAAATATGTATTATTAACCCCTTGACTGTCGCAACCCCCAATCCTGAGGTGTCGCAAAATTTAAAAAAAAAAATTTTTTCTTATGAAATGATAGAGAATCTTTTCCCGATTGTAATGACACCAAAAAATCGAAATTTGATGGAAAACTGACGGAATTACACTCTCGCAAATTTAGCGACCTCTGCGATATTTACAAATCGGCGATTTCGCCCACTTTGAGCCCTATTTTTGGCTAATTCCATTGTTCCAGTTGACCAAACTCATAGCTATTTCTTTAGAACTCCATTTTCTCTATCGACTGAGTACAAGAAACTCTCCATTTACCAATTTCAACTACCCAATAACAAGAATCAGAAATTTGCAATTTGGCCAATTTCACGAAAATTAAAAAATATGACAATTTTAAAATAAGGTCCAGAATGAACAATGCAGACATTCCTGGCTCTAAAATAACATTTTCTTTGTTCATCAGTCACATCTCCAGGCCCCTCTGATATTACTCTTGCTTTCTACTTTGAATTTTTAATCAAACTAAAAAATAGAAGATTTACTGTTATGCAGACTACTGCAATATTGTAATAATGGTACAAATGATGTCAACCCATTCATGACTGCATATTAGAATGGCTAGTTGGACATTTATTGGACAACGACATCATTTGTTTACTTTTGAACATCGGCAAAAATCAAACATTTTCCCTACTTTGAGCCCCATTTCCAGGTTCTTTTTATAGTAAAACCAATCAAAATCACCTCTATTTCTATAATATGTTTTCCATTCTATCAAATTAGACCAAGAAAACGAGAATAGAACCATAAATACTATATGAAAATAGATCACAAAGTCAGCATTTTAATTAAAAAAAAATGATGTTTTTTTTTTCTCATGCACTGCATTCGCCAAGATTTTTTTATATGATGCACACTGACCACACAGACCTATTCTCTCACATGTGGGCCTACCAGCTTTCTCCTGATTGATTTGAAGCTGCTAGAATTTATGAGTATATATTCGTCAAACACAGTACCTCGTAAGACGTATATATACGACCAAAACAGTCAAAGGGTTAAACACAAAGAAAGCCACTTGCATGCCAGAGCATTTCGAACCTGTGTTTATTGCCCTTGTGTCTGTAATGTATATGGTTAGAGGAACAGTAGTAATGCATCCAGATGGAAGACATCTTATACAGCATACCAAAGAGGTAAATTCACACTTCACTGATACTGTTTAATACAGCACTAAATCATGTAAGATAACATAAGAAATACTGTATTAGATTTACCTCAGAATTCTATACTTCTTAATGTAGTAAGTATAACAAATACAACATAAAATATGTAATGAGATAAATACTTTCTTTACATTTCATCTTTCAGATTCCAATACTTATACCAGGCGTCATTCACGTAGCAGAAACACTTGTCACATGCATATCAGAGCTGGGGATCTCAGACACTGTACGCGTATTTGTTGTGAAGGGGAAAGCCTCACGACCTTTGCTCACTGCTGTCATCAGCATGCCAGTGGCAGAAATTTTCATGGGCTCCTAAAAACTAGCATGACTGAGCTGTTATGTATTGCAAAGTGTTTGTAAAGGAAAACTAGTCATTGTTTATGTTAATATTTTTATTTTCATATGTATGTACTGTATATTGTAATTCAAGTACATATTTTCCATAAAAACTATATACATGTATTGTATATATGTATATATACTATATATAAATTCTATATAAACAAGAATACTTCATGTACAGTAGTATATATTAACCACATATTCCTGACTAAAGAAAAATTCTTGAAAATGTATAAATATTATAAAAACATTGAAATATAGGGTATAAATAAGATTTTATTTAATATGAAACATGAGATTCTGGACTATTTTTATCATTGTATTACAAGTATTAAACTATGCACATTGTTAAATGGTGAAAACCTCTTTCTTCTCTTGTTATAAAATCACTAATAAAAGTTTTTGAAAAATAAACATGAGTGAATGCTTATCACAAATTACTGTGGCTACATTCACTGAATTGACCCACTTACAAATTAAAAAAAAAGTATAGTGCAAAGATCATGACAAATTTTGAGATTTATTCATTATGTATTGAAATAAAAAGTGTAAATGATAATGGGAGCCCTTTGATTGAACTTTGTATAGAAAGGGGTTTAGTTATAGGTAATACATATTTTAAGAAAAAGAGGATAAATAAGTATACAAGATATGATGTAGGGCGAAATGACAGTAGTTTGTTGGATTATGTATTGGTAGATAAAAGATTGTTGAGTAGACTTCAGGATGTACATGTTTATAGAGGGGCCACAGATATATCAGATCACTTTCTAGTTGTAGCTACACTGAGAGTAAAAGGGAGATGGGATACAAGGAGAGTAGAAGCATCAGGGAAGAGAGAGGTGAAGGTTTATAAACTAAAAGAGGAGGCAGTTAGGGAAACATATAAACAGCTTTTGGAGGATAGATGGGCTAATGAGAGCATAGGCAATGGGGTTGAAGAGGTATGGGGTAGGTTTAAAAATGTAGTGTTAGAGTGTTCAGCAGAAGTTTGTGGTTACAGGAAAGTGGGTGCGGGAGGGAAGAGGAGCGATTGGTGGAATGATGATGTAGAGAGTAGTAAGGGAGAAAAAGTTAGCATATGAGAAGTTTTTACAAAGTAGAAGTGATGCAAGGAGGGAAGAGTATATGGAGAAAAAGAGAGAGGTTAAGAGAGTGGTGAAGCAATGTAAAAAGAGAGCAAATGAGAGAGTGAGTGAGATGTTATCAACAAATTTTGTTGAAAATAAGAAAAAGTTTTGGAGTGAGATTAACAAGTTAAGGAAGCCTAGAGAACAAATGGATTTGTCAGTTAAAAATAGGAGACGAGAGTTATTAAATGGAGAGTTAGAGGTATTGGGAAGATGGAGGGAATATTTTGAGGAATTGTTAAATGTTGATGAAGATAGGGAAGCTGTGATTTCGTGTATAGGGCAAGGAGGAATAACATCTTGTAGGAGTGAGGAAGAGCCAGTTGTGAGTGTGGGGGAAGTTCGTGAGGCAGAAGGTAAAATGAAAGGGGGTAAGGCAGCTGGGATTGATGGGATAAAGATAGAAATGTTAAAAGCAGGTGGGGATATAGTTTTGGAGTGGTTGGTGCAATTATTTAATAAATGTATGGAAGAGGGTAAGGTACCTAGGGACTGGCAGAGAGCATGCATAGTTCCTTTGTATAAAGGCAAAGGGGACAAAAGAGAGTGCAAAAATTATAGGGGGATAAGTCTGTTGAGTTGTAGGTAGTAGGTTGGTAGACAGCAACCGCCCAGGGAGGTACTACCGTCCTGCCAAGTGAGTGTAAAACGAAAGCCTGTAATTGTTTTACATGATGGTAGGATTGCTGGTGTCTTTTGTCTGTCTCATAAATATGCAAGATTACAGGTAAGTCTTGATGCTTCTACTTACACTTAGGTCACACTAAACATACATGTACAAGCATATATATACACACCCCTCTGGGTTTTCTTCTATTTTCTTTCTAATTCTTGTTCTTGTTTATTTCCTCTTATTTCCATGGGGAAGTGGAACAGAATTCTTCCTCTGTAAGCCATGCGTGTCGTAAGAGGCGACTAAAATGCCGGGAGCAAGGGGCTAGTAACCCCTTCTCCTGTATATATTACTAAATTTAAAAGGAGAAACTTCAGTTTTTTCTTTTGGGCCACCCCACCTCAGTGGGATACGGCTGGTACGTTGAAAGAAGAAGAAGAAGTCTGTTGAGTATACCTGGTAAAGTGTATGGTAGAGTTATTATTGAAAGAATTAAGAGTAAGACGGAGAATAGGATAGCAGATGAACAAGGAGGCTTTAGGAAAGGTAGGGGGTGTGTGGACCAGGTGTTTCCAGTGAAACATATAAGTGAACAGTATTTAGATAAGGCTAAAGAGGTCTTTGTGGCATTTATAGATTTGGAAAAGGCGTATGACAGGGTGGATAGGGGGGCAATGTGGCAGATGTTGCAGGTGTATGGTGTAGGAGGTAGGTTACTGAAAGCAGTGAAGAGTTTTTACGAGGATAGTGAGGCTCAAGTTAGAGTATGTAGGAAAGAGGGAAATTATTTCCCAGTAAAAGTAGGCCTTAGACAAGGATGTGTGATGTCACCGTGGTTGTTTAATATATTTATAGATGGGGTTGTAAGAGAAGTAAATGCAAGGGTCTTGACAAGAGGCGTGGAGTTAAAAGATAAAGAATCACACATAAAGTGGGGGTTGTCACAGTTGCTCTTTGCTGATGACACTGTGCTCTTGGGAGATTCTGAAGAGAAGTTGCAGAGATTGGTGGATGAATTTGGTAGGGTGTGCAAAAGAAGAAAATTAAAAGTGAATACCGGAAAGAGTAAGGTTATGAGGATAACAAAAAGATTAGGTGATGAAAGATTGGATATCAGATTGGAGGGAGAGAGTATGGAGGAGGTGAATGTATTCAGATATTTGGGAGTGGACGTGTCAGCGGATGGGTCTATGAAGGATGAGGTGAATCATAGAATTGATGAGGGGAAAAGGGTGAGTGGTGCACTTAGGAGTCTGTGGAGACAAAGAACTTTGTCCTTGGAGGCAAAGAGGGGAATGTATGAGAGTATAGTTTTACCAACACTCTTATATGGGTGTGAAGCATGGGTGATGAATGTTGCAGTGAGGAGAAGAATGGAGGCAGTGGAGATGTCATGTCTGAGGGCAATGTGTGGTGTGAATATAATGCAGAGAATTCGTAGTTTGGAAGTTAGGAGGAGGTGCGGGATTACCAAAACTGTTGTCCAGAGGGCTGAGGAAGGGTTGTTGAGGTGGTTCGGACATGTAGAGAGATGGAGCGAAACAGAATGACTTCAAGAGTGTATCAGCCTGTAGTGGAAGGAAGGCGGGTAGGGGTCGGCCTAGGAAGGTTGGAGGAGGGGTAAAGGAGGTTTTGTGCGAGGGGATTGGACTTCCAGCAGGCGTGCGTGAGCGTGTTTGATAGGAGTGAATGGAGACGAATGGTTTTTAATACTTGACGTGCTGTTGGAGTGTGAGCAAAGTAATATTTATGAAGGGGTTCAGGGAAACCGGCAGGCCAGACTTGAGTCCTGGAGATGGGAAGTACAGTGCCTGCACTCTGAAGGAGGGGTGTTAATGTTGCAGTTTAAAAACTGTAGTGTAAAGCACCCTTCTGGCAAGACATGATGGAGTGAATGATGGTGAAAGTTTTTCTTTTTCGGGCCACCCTGCCTTGGTGGGAATCGGCCAGTGTGATAATAAATAATAATAATAATTATATATATATATTTTTTTTTTTCATGTATAGTATTGGCATTTCAGAGCAGTTTGAGGCATTTTCTGATAAACTGCAGTGTTTGCCTAAAATATGAATGAAGAACAAAAAGGCACAATACCCATGCATGTATATACTGGCTCCTCCTTGTCTTCCTGTTAGTGTGACTTTGTAAATGGTCCAAGTCGGACCAAAACGTCATCGTAACCTCCTCCTATGTTTGGGTTATTTGTGTAAAATATGCATATCTATGTTAGAGGAAAGTGTGGATGCTCTTTACTGAAAATAAAGTATACTAGAACAAAGTAACACTTATGAAGGGATTCAGAGCAACTGGTTAGCCAGACTTAGACTCCTGAAGGTTGGAAGTACATACAGTGCCTGCACTCTGTTGATAAGTTGCAGTTTTTTAACTGTAATGTAGGCACACCTCTGGCAAGACAGTGATGGAGTGAATGATGATGATGATGATGAAAATGTTTCTTCTTTTTCGGATCACCCTGCCTCAGTAGGAAAAGGCTAATGTGTTAATAAAAAAAATCAAGTTGATGCCAACTGTATGTGAAAATTATAAAGGCAGCAGCGTTGGATAAAGGTAAGTAGAGTGAGAAATTTAAATACCCATGAAACAACATATAATTTTTAGTAGAGAGGGAAGAACAAAATGTAGTCAAGGAAAAAAATTTGTATGATTAATAATGGCTTCAGTAACACATTGTAAAGTAATACATGTAAGACTTAACCGGTGGGTTTATTTTAATTCTGACACACAGAGTGGAGAATGAAGATATTCGAGTCAGCTGTGAACGAAGAAGTTGATAAATGAGAATTTGTTTGAACATAATGTAATGAATGTCTCCTAAGCAAGTAAAAAAAAAAACTACTAAAATTAAATCATATTGGCATCTGGGTTTTGTGCTTAACTATAATGATATAATAATATCTCGTAAAGTAACTTATGAAGGATAGACCCAAGCTGAAAAATAGATTCATGTACCTCTATACATACACACACATGCACACACACACACAGTATATGAAAATGAGAGATTGTCATATTGCATGTTCCATTTTTATGAAAGTGAAGCTTATTATCAGATTATAAATTTTTCTTGGATAAAACCTGAATGCCTCCCATTCCCTCTACACTGTAAAATCCCTATGGTTTTAGTGCTCCCCTCTTAAATATAATTATATGGAATAGTTTTAAAAATGCAGTATTAGAATGTGGGGCAGAAGTTTGTGGTTATAGGAGGGTGGGGGCAGAAGGAAAGAGGAGTGATTGGTGGAATGATGAAGTAAAGGGTGTGATAAAAGAGAAAAAGGTAGCTTACGAGAGGTTTTTACAAAGCAGAAGTGTTATAAGAAGAGCAGAGTATATGGAGAGTAAAAGAAAGGTGAAGAGAGTGGTGAGAGAGTGCAAAAGGAGAGCAGATGAAAGAGTGGGAGAGGCACTGTC